GTGGCTTGGACGCATGAACGACAGTGGCGTGATACTGGTACTTGGGATCAACGGCTGCCTGAAATCTGAGGGAGCCAGGCTAATTAGGCTGATCATGAGATTGGCAAGTCTGGACAGGTAGATCGGCATGGAATGTTGTGGATGCGGACATTTGGTATTCGAATTGCATCATTAAGAATTCTATGGGATATCGTAGACGTTGAACATGTGTCTTTAGCCGCTTGCAGCTTTCAAGATTAACCAACAACAACCAAAAAGAGGAGCGAATTATATACAACCATGTAATAAGTGACAATTCGCTCAATATAGCAAATGGTATACTTCTCATCTTTTTCACCGCATTCCTTATCATCATCCTGTCGACTGCGTCTAGAAGTTCTCTTTACCCCACACGTAACTGAAGCCTGGCTCAGAATACATGTTGCACTTGACGTGGAGTGTAGAACCAAGACCCTTGGGTCCACAGAAGAAGACACCGGCTTCAGCGGGTGAGTGGATCTTGCGAATGGACTTGAAGATCATGTCCCAGTTGGGGCGACCGAAGTTGGTGGGTGCACGGAGACCAGTGATGGCGTCTTGCTCTGCGTTTGCGTCGTTGATCATGATGTTTGTCGCATCGTCTGCCTTGATCTTTGCTGTGAGGTACTGTGAAGAAGGTTAGTAGACCGTTAAGAGCCAGCAATGGACATAAAACTTACGGTGTGGATCTCGATGTGATCATCGATATCTTGCGCCTCGATAGCCAGCAGCAACGATCTGAACCATTCGAAAGATCCGAAGTCTCTGCAAATCCAGAAGAAGTAGACCTTCCTCAGTCTCGTACGGGATCCTTGAGGGTAGTTCATGCGGTACCAGATACTCTTAAGAATGGACGCGAAAGGAGTGACACCGATACCGGCACCGCAGAGGACGGCGACTTCGAACTTGAACACATCCTCAGAGGCCGAACCGAAAGGACCGTCAATGTAGACTCGGGGAAGAATTTGACGCAGGGCAATCTCCTCGCTGGACCCGCCCTTCTCGCCCTTCTCGCCAGCTGGCTTCTTGTCTGTGTTGCAGCCAAGCGCCTGACCGAAGGCCTTGGTGAAGTTACCGACCATACGAATGTGGACAGAGATGTAGTCTTCCTCGGGTGCGCTGGTAAGCGTGAAGGGATGGTATTGCCAGATGGAGATCTCAGGGCAGCACAAGAAGATGTACTGTCCAGCGCGGGTCTTGGTGTGCTCCTTCTTGATCTGAACTTCGCAAACGTTGCTGGGATGCTGGATGACCTTGGAGATGTACGTCTTGTGTCGTCCTCGTACTTCACGGGCAATTCGCTCGGCCAGGTACGCAAATCCACCATACATCCAGTACTCCCAGAAGACACCAATACCGTCGCAGAAGGGCGCAAAGTCAGGCTGAATCATGCAGAAGGCTCCGTGGATGGACCAGAAGATGAAGAAGACGATGAACAGATGGTGCATGTACCAGAAACGTTCGAAGTTGGCGCGACGAGCCTTCTCCGCAGCAGTGACAGCGATTGCCATGAGCGCAGTCAGCATGACGTAACCACTCCATCCAGGTCCAGTTGCAAGGTTGGCAAGGATGAAGCCCATGAATCCCAGGTTGTTGGAAGCCGAAAACTTGGCAAGGTTGTTCCAATGGGCGATAGTGTGGACCCACGAGAAGAAGACGATAGACCAGGCGACCAGCTTGTGGAAGGTGATGTTCTTGTCGAAAGGAATAACGTCGTTCAACGGCGTACGGCGAGCCATGGAGATTAAGTTCCTGCATACCGGGAAGAGGATGAAGGCAACGTCGACGTGCAATACGAGAGCGGCTGAACGAGCAATGGGGAAGGTCAGACCAAAGGTTTGTCTTGAGCCAATGGAGTTGTCCTAGGATGTGTGAGCGGTATTCGTTGTGATCTGAGCTATCCATTCATACCTTTAGCCCATAGTTCATCATACCAAAGACGAAGACCATGACGTGCAATATCGCAAATGTGAAAACAAAACTATATACGTTAGTTGAGGCTTTTCACACACGGTGTAGTGCAACGTACAATCTTCGGTAACCCTCATTGACCATCCACACATCGAATTTCTCTTTCCGGGTCAACTCTCGCGCCTTTTGGTCCGACATCTCTCCGGACATGAGCATGCGCGTCAGCGGCGGCCATCGTGACCGCTCGCGACCTGTGAGACTGGTGGTGTACGACATAGTTGACAGAAGAAGCGAACGTAGCAGCGGTAGAGTGCGTGTTGTGGATGCCGATGATCTTCAGACCTGCTGAATGTGGCCGAAGTAGCAATGAGTTCAAAGAGTGTCTAAGTAATCTGTACAAAGGTTAAATCAAAGCCACTAGGGACGACGACGCCATGGTACAGGAAGCCACTTGAAAGAATGTATGACTTACTAAAAGTGCCCGCACAAAAGAAGAGAAAAGGTACAGGAAGAGGCGTTCAGTCACCCGGCTAAAGAGGCACCGGCATGAAATCGGTCGAGTCTTAGGGTGAGCAGGGGAAACAAAAGCCTATAAGCCAACGTTGCAAGGCGGCGAACAGAGAGAAAAGCGGCTACGACGGGGGGCAGGACAAGTCAGGTCCGCTCTGCCATTAGCGAAGTGGATCAAGGGTATCAGTTCGTCAGATGGCTTGGAAGATGAGCAATCCAGGGCCCAAAGAGCGAAACGGTAGCAGAAGTCGAACCATCTTCCATGGCTTTGCACTGCGAGCTGCGACACAGCAAGCTCCGCCGTCTACCAGCGCGTATCGCAACGGGATCATGACCAATTAGGGACGCGAAATGGCGTGGCTAGGGCTAGACGCACGCCAAGATGGAGTCCTGAAACATGAATGGCCATGCGCTTTAGTCTTCGGCATGCGAAATGGCAGAGCGAGGCGTTTGAGAGGTGTTTGGGACGTGGGAGGCTAAAACCTAGTGCGTTAGAATGGGGCGCCTCCCTGGGCACCTCGCCCTTGCCTAGGCAGTCGGTGGGTTGAGCCTCAACTGCCGATGGTGGCCTTGACTTCATCGCCATGCTCCGACTTTCGACCGCCTTCCGTTGTGGACCTGGGTACAAGCTTCGATGGTACACGATACTCTCGCGGCATGGCTGAAAGTGACAGCTGTAAGGGGCGGATGCGCTTGGTGTTCGCACGCCTTGGCTGAAGCTTGGAATGGGTTCCACGACTGATCACGTCCAGTCTCATGATTGCAATTCATTCGACTGCGCCCATGCGGCATTCGCTCTGCATACCTGCACAGGTCTTCACATGTCGACGATCCAACGGCTGTGGCGTCATCGACTTCTGATCGGAAATCGTACTCGGTCGGTGGTATTCTGCATAGCTGCATGTTTGAACGGTGCGTAGCTACTAAATCCGACCTATTCCCGTCCAAACATCTCCGGTCTTGGAACCAAAACACCGTGGCCCAGATCCACCTGACGCTTCCATATCAAACAAGAAGCTTTGGTGCTAAAACAATGACAGAATCTACTACAGCTTCAGGAAACCACCAGATGCGGATATCGCCTGACCCGAAACCCATTTCGCGTCGTCGCCACAAAGCCAGGCCACGATTCTCGCGATGTCGTCCACAGTCCCTACCCTGTTCTCAACAGCAGTTTGCTTTAACTGGGCCTCTACGATGTCCTTTGGCACATCGTCCAGCATCTCTGATTCGGTGGGGCCAGGCGCAACCGCGTTGACGGTGTGTCCTGCAGCGCCTAGCTCTTGTGCCAGACTCCGAGTCACGCCTTCTATCGCTGCCTTGGATGCGGTGTAGAGAGTTAGGTTCGCGAAACCTAGTCGGGCGCCTATGGACGACATATTTATGATGCGGCCTGGTGCTCGTAGATGTGGAACAACTGCTTTGGTCAGCAGAAGAGGCGCGCGAACGTTGACGTCGAATATGGCGGCGTAGTCTTCTGCTGTTGTCTCCGTGATGGATCTGTTCATCAAAACACCAGCGTTGTTAATCAAGATGTCGATCTTGTCACCGAACGCTTCCCTAGTCGCCGACACAATCTTTTCTGGCGCATCGAGTTGTCTGAGGTCCGCCTGAACAACCCTCGATGTGCTACCATTGCCAAGTGATTCAATCTTCGATGCAACCTCTTCCGCTAGCTTTCCGCTCTTTGGCGATGTGTAGACGAGCGTGACCTATTTCACACATGAGTCTTTTGATTGACTTGATTCGAAGTCGTTGGACTAACCTTTGCTCCTCTTCGCGCCAGCTCTAACGCCAAGCCAGCCCCAATCCCTCGCGAAGCGCCTGTGACGATGGCAACCTTACCCTGTAGAGGAAACGTTGTTGGGTTCGATGGAGCAGACATGATGACAACTTTTCAGGATGTGTTTTGTAGATGAAGCTAGAGAGGAAATTTTCAATCGTATCTTATAGCACTCCAGTGCGCCCACATATCCAGTGACATAAGAGATGATGAGTGCATAAATTTGATGTGGCGAACTGTAGTTGAAATTGCTACGTTATCGTGAACAGAGTGGATAAGGCCATACGTCATCGGTTCGTTACTACCGATGAATCTCACGAGTGCCGATAAGCTTCGGAGGAGATTTTGCAGCCTGTAGCAAGCATTTGAGAAGACTTTGTAATATATGTTACATAGTTATCGCAGAAGCACAATGATCTTTGGCGTACGAGAGAGAGGTCATGTGAAGGGTATGAATTATGTATTGAATATGAAAGTACAGCAAGTCGTTGGCTCCGAGACGAGAACATCATGTACTCGTAGGTAATCTGTCCCCAGCCTATGCAACGAGGGGAATAGTTTGATGCGCGCTCCAATGCCCCAGCAAGATTCGGGTCCAGGTGTCCGGTCGAAGAGAGGTTGGTGTAGGCTGAGGGTGTTGTATCAGGCTCGACGGAGATTCGACTTGTCGATACAGTATGGGCGCAGTCATTATCCCAGCAGCTGTAGAGTTGTACATGGCCACTTCCCGCCCGTTTTACGTCGAGCTCAGCATCCTTCTTCCGCTCTCTTTCCAAGATCACCGCTTGATGAAGCCAAGCAACGGGCCCTTCTTTGCATTTGGATCCTTCTTTTTCGGGTACATCTTAGATGTGACGAAGTGGACGTACCATATCAGGGTACCGAAGACTGATAGGCCGAAGATGACGAGGAAGAGGGTGATGACTGGCCGGCCGTCGTTTTGTACCGAGCGCAGGGCCGCAGGGGTGAGAATTGGTGCAAGCCACTCGAAAGCCATGGTGTATTTGTTGGTTGCGTTCGTTGAACTTAGGGAGGTCCCTGCGATAGAATTCGTTCTGTCGGGGGGAGGACGAGCTTGCGATGACGATCAGGGTTCAGACAGCCGGCTGCCACTAAAACGAATGTATGAAGATATCGCCAGCGACGTTGAAGAATCGAAGTAAGGAAAGGAAACGCGATGTTCAATGGCAGCTACAGAAATGCGCAAAATGCGGCACTTAGCGTTCATGTATCTCCACCGCAGAGCCGCTCAAGCGGCAGCGCGACGGCCAAACCAGACTCGTTTCGCGCATGACCTGACCTCTTAGTATGCTTGGCAGATCGCATGATGTTTACAGAAAAAGCCATACACACGGCGTGTAGAGCCATGTTAGACGTAAGGCGACTGTATGATATGGTGATTGTTTCAAATGCAAGGCGGGCCAAGAGACCATGGTGAGACGCTTTCGTTGCAGAGGTTCCGGCGCCCGGCCTAGGAGCTCGCTCGGGCATGGAGCTCTGCAGGGCGTTTTGATGTAAGTTGCAGCTGGTGCCGGGTTGGGTGCGCATCCTCGGATACTCCTGCGTTCTCGGTCCTCGCTCTACTGGCTGCACACCGCATTCCCCCGAATGTCCCGAAGCATAGGTACCCAGGTATCCACCCACGACAGAAGTGACGGCGAGTCAAGCAGCGTAGCCACAATGGCCGACCACGTCGCAACTGCCGGACAAGTCAGTAAGCTGACTGCTGCGTGCTACCAACACCGCGCCATGATATCTTGTTGTTGTACTGCGTGCAGTGCTGCGATGGCTCGTTGGTGGTGAGGACCAACTCGTCTGATTGCTGGTGGTCTCACGTAATCATGCCGCCCGCTCGGCTGTGATTGGACGCAGGAAAAACGCTCTTTTCACCGACAGTTCGCACAAATAGGCCGCATGGTTCCCAGCCATCCCTCGAGCTTACTGCATATCCACCCTTTTTTCCCTTGAACAAAATACTCCATTAACGTTGTTGTGTAAGTGCATTCGCCGCTGCTGACCCTAGGTACCTGGAAAAGCGACATCTCATTCTCACTTTCCACGCCCAGAACCAATCTCGTTGCGCCAAAGGTCACACAGACATACACAAGCTCCTTCGGCAGCGTTTGCATATTCTCTCGTCACAATGGCTCCCCTCCTTAAACCCGAAGACTCCAACTCGCCCACCGAACGACCTGTCTCCCGAGACTCCGCCGAACGGGGTAAGAAGCGCGCAAGTATGTCCGGTCGCTGCTTCCTCGATATTAACCACGGACAACGCTGACGCTACGCTACTGCGCACAGGAACACAGTCAATGCCTCCGCCAGAGCTGCCCAAGCTAGTCGCCGAGCAGCATGCCCCCATCCCGACCAACGACAAAGACACACAGCGCCTGATCGTCGTCCTGTGCAATGCGACACTGGAGACGTACAAGGCGTCGCATGGCACTGGCCGCGGCCCCGGTGCGCGCGAGGACAAGTACAACCTGCTCAACAGTGACGACCACATTGGCGTAATGCGCAAGATGGGGCGCGACATAAGCGAAGCCAGGCCCGACATCACCCACCAAGTGCGTACAAGAGGAGGTTAGCCATGTCCCTCAGCTAACGTGGCGCCGCAGTGTCTGCTCACATTACTCGACTCGCCAATCAACAAGGCGGGCAAGCTCCAAATCTACATCCACACCTCCAAGAACGTGCTCATCAGGGTCAGCCCTACAGTGCGCATCCCCCGTACCTTCAAGCGCTTCGCTGGACTCATGGTCCAACTCCTGCACCGACACCAGATCCGGTCGACGTCTTCGCAAGAAAAGCTCATCGAGGTCATCAAGAACCCCATCACCGATCACCTCCCTCCCAACTGCCGCAAGGTCACGCTCAGCTTCGACTCCGAGGTCGTACGTGTCAGCGATTACATTGGCGATCTCAACAAGGGCGAGAGTATCGCAGTCTTCGTAGGTGCTATGGCCAAGGGCAACGACGACTTTGCCGATCACATCAAGGACGACAGCATCGCTATTAGCCAGTTTAACCTCAGTGCCAGCGTTGCATGCAGTAAGTTCTGCCATGCTGCCGAAGACGTTTGGAACATCTTCTAGTTCAGCCGACGATCAAGCGCTGGACCTATCTATATTGGACACGCCAACTAGCCCACAAGCAACAACTGACTCACCGCGGACGAGTCGGATCACGGACCGCACAAACGGAAGATAACGGGAACTTTTAGGCTGCAGGACACGCTCATGGCTTAGATCGCAACATCAACAGCCTGAGCGTTACTGCATCTGATTTTGGGCGTCTGCTTGAGGTTTTTTTACAACAAAACAACTACTCTGGCTCAACGCACAACAATCAATCTTCTTTTGAAGATCGCGGGGCAGCTCAACCTACCCCGCACCTGTTTTTCTTTCACCTTGTTCCATCGACACAGCCGCTAGTCTGTATGCGCACTGTGTTTGGTGTCGTACCACCGGGTCTTGTCATGGCCTGTCATTCGACCTTGAAATGTGGTTGTCAGTAGTTAGCTTGTAGGATAACGCGGCTCTCCATCCACTCTAGGATTCACGAGTAGGAGGATCTTCAGTGTCAGGAATGACATGTCCGGCGAATGAAAAAGTATACTTCACGTCATCTTCGCAGTACGATCCCTTGAACCCCTCTTTCAGGCATACACCTTGTAATTCTCTCGCTCTATGCCTTACATGGTTAGAATGTATTCTGGGGGCTCATCGCATTTTGCGCGTGTGGCGGGAGGGAAACGGGTAGAGCATCTATCCATGGAGCCGCATCGCCGATCTCCCATGATGATCTCGCGTAAACATAGAAAAAGCAACAGCATGGCAAGTCCTACCGATATTTGGGACAACTCCAAGAATCTCCGACGATGCCTGCAATCGTAGCCTCACTACAGCGTCATCTTGGTCCTTGGTTCTTGTGAGAACGATGCCCCATCATCGACGTCACACCATGTCCAATCGAGCGTTGCGACGACAAGTGGCGCGTCCAGACCGCAAATACTCTGTTGCACGCGACAAGCGACCGAAATGCTACGATTCCGTATCCAATGTAGCGTAGTGGCCAATGTGAGGCGTGCGACGACTTAAACCTCTCGCGGCCCCGGGCCGGCGCTCAGGACCAATGTCATACACCGACACCTCGCTTACATTAACAAATTTGTTAGCTGCAGACGCAGGACATGTGGCAGCATCACAACATGTTGACAGCGACCTCCTTGATAGCTAACTGCAGCGGTGGGGCGTGCTAGTAGGGTCTGTCCCGCAACGGTATGGAACGCCCTGCTACTCGGTTCACGATGCATCGAGACGCTGCACCTGGACGGGGTTATGATATAAACCTCGAGGTCGTACCGATACTTCCCCCCTACTCACACCATACATCTCCAACCGCTCCAACTCGATCACACCTCCCTGTGTGCATATATCCGCCTCGTTCCCTTCTCAATTCTTCGTTTGGCGATTGTTCTAGCCGCGTCCTGTCGTTCTTGTTCTTCACCGCTGTTCAGCAATGCCCGTCTCCCACATCGGCCTCACGGTATCGCATCTTCCAACTTCGACATCGTTCTTTCTTTCAGCGCTCCAGCCACTGGGCTACCGCTACATCGGCCAATATGGCAACCAAATCGGCCTTGGAATAAATGATTCCGATTTCTTTCTCTGCCAAGAAACGCCTGGGTCAGTACCACAAGGGATCACCAGGCACACCGCAACTGACAGCTGAGTAGCGTAAAAGCCGGCGCTGCACACATTGCATTCACCGCACCTAGCACGACCGCAGTCCGGAATTTCTATACCGCTGCATTGACCGCCGGTGGTCGTCCTAACGGGGCCCCGGGTGCTCGTTGCGCAGAGGATGGCCACTTCAACGCCGCAGTAATCGACTTTGACGGCAACAGCATCGAGGTTGTCTACCGAAATGGACCTGATATGAGACATGACGGGACCATCATCACGCACAGCAGAGTCATTACATGGCAGAGGACCGTTTCGCAGAGCTTCCGTGAGAGCCCGAGTATCTTCAGCGCTCACACGTGTGCTTCGAGAACTGGCGCAATTCCAGTCGCACCGACAGCCGAATCAGCTGCTCCGAAGGCACCAAGCCCTGTACCCAGAAGCGCCTCTGCGCCCACAGTCGCTCCTGTTCCCGAAGCGACGACAAAATCAGATGCCGGCAGTGGGGCGGCCACGCACATTCTCGGAACATTACTTGGAGCTGCTGCAGGTGCAGCCGTCACATATGCATTCATGCGGAGCGAGCGAGATAGTGCGAAGAAAGAGGCGGACTTCAGCGCCTTCATGGACGCCAAAAACGCGGTCAACACTGCGGCTGGCTTCTTCGCTCAGGCCTCATCCCAACCCTCGACACCCCAGCAAGCCCCACAACCCGCGCAGCCACCTGTCCAGGCCATTGCACCGCCTACACCTGAGCCAGTACACCGCATTGAAGACGACGCGCGATCTTCCTATTCGCGAGCTTCTCAGATCCCTAGGAATTCCGTGCCGCGACAGATCGAGGCTGCGCCGGCCGACTACTACTCACCGTCTCAATTCGAGCGTCCTCGCTCAAGGGCTGCGGAGCCTCTCGCCATCGAATATGCCCCTGCATACTCTGTTGCCCCGTCGCAGACTCCATCGAGGCTCACACCTGCTCACCGCTCAAATACTAGCCCTGAGTTGTTGATGATCGAGAGGGCCAGGAGCACCGTCTCGACAGCCAAGCCCGAAAGTGTCGCAATGACTGCAAAGCCACCGCGACCATCGTCCAAGCCTCAAAGTGTCGTCTCAAAGGCGCAAAGTGTAGCTCACAGTGCTGCGCCTAGCTCCTTCATCTCATCGTTCGTAGCAGACCGCGAAGATGAGAAGAGTAGTTCGGGTAGGTCCAAGGCCAGGTCCTCTCATACCTCATCTTCAAAACATTCCTCGCACAAGGAACACGGTAGTAGTGGTAGCAGCCGAAAGGAGCGTGGCTCATCGCCTTCTCCAC